TTCAGGACGACGATCGAATGCGGTATGCTTTCTGTGTACAAATTTTTGCTAATTATTCCCTCTGAAGATTCGAGCTTTTTGCTCAACCTTTAGTAACAGGCACATCCCCAAATTTTTAGTGTTTCATCGGTGATATTTCCTGAGACTTCAGAGAAAATGTAGCTTTCAGTGTTAGTGCTATTTACTGGCAAAAACTGTTACGATTTCCTGGTCATACTTGTTTGAGATTTAACGTCAGACCACTTATTAGGTTTATGCAGAATTATAAACGCTATTTAAGGAATAGTTAGCTACAAACATTGTACACGAAAGGTTACCAGTTTAGCTAAAATTGAGATTTTTCGGCCATTTTAACTGCACACGTCTGAAACACCTATAACCTCATATGGTATATTCCGTTCCCTCCTTTCAAATATCCCTCTTTTATGACCAAATATCTCGAAATAGGACGAAGATTTGTTTGCTATTAATGATCCCCAAATATCTTTTACTGAAGCGATACAAAAATTTAAGTAAATTGCCAGGCTGTTTGAAAATGGCGTACTTTTATACCGCATTTTTCCGAAGTCCCAGTTTCAATTTTGCTATTTAGGTGCTTGGAGCATCAGGTAAAAGATCTGAACAGAGCAATGCAGGAAAAAGATGAATATGTCGCTAGGCTTGAGAAGGAAAGAAACGACAAGGAATGGAGTCTTGGTGAACACCGCCAATGGCTCAGTGATGCCAACAACAGGTTTACTTTACTGCCTACTTTTTAAACTTGAAAATGTTATCATAGCTATTAGAACTGATTCTTTTGCCTAAGTGCATAAAAAAAATTTTTTTTACACATATAAAATTTTCTTTGCAAACAAAATTGCTCATTCCTTGGAGAATTATCTTGAATAACCTAAAGCCAATCCGCAACTATGCACATTTCTTAAGCACTTTCACTCCCACACTCATTTCGTTGCAGTCCATAGCATTTTGCCCTCACTATGCAAACATCCAATTTTTCCAGTTACTCTGACCAGTGCTGCATTGTCTGATAGTCTCTGATGGCCAGTCGAATCGTTAGTAATCTCGACGTTTAAATCATTTCCTGTGAAGTTGCCAGCTGAGCGGTTTTTTGATCAACTTCAGCCATTTCGAAATGTCATTTGTGTATATAAAGCAACACCACTTTCAAACACTGCCATTCCTAGACCACGATGAGGTAGCACTTATGAAGTGCTTCGCATCCGCACTATGATGCGTTTTTGAAATTAATTCGAAGCTGTTTGGTGACCTCAAGTCTTTTATCACACGAAATATAAAAGCTCATTTTTGTGGCCACGGCAGAAAAATGTTAAATCTGATTCATAATGCTTCGAGTATTACGTTTAATTACTGGTATTAAAGAGCGGATGAATTGGCCGCAAAACTGCGAAAAGCGGAAGATGAATTATCGCGGCGGGAGCACACCGAGGAACCGGATGGTACCGAAAAATGCAAGGTACTTTGGTTTTCTCCTGTTGCATTATAATGAAATGAAGGCACTGCTTAAAGCAAAGAGGGTCAATAGTTAGCCTGAAACAGTTTGTCCAGACTGATTTAAAAATGATTCACAGTGGAATGTGTCAAATGGCGAGAGTGTCAGTACATTTTGTTGAAGGTTCCATAGCTTTTCAGTTTCAAAATATGTAGTACTTTTTTTTGTGAATGTGAAAGTGCAGGTACGAGCAGGATACGAACTCGATTAGGGCGGAATAATGCAGCAAGAATGGTCAATTCTCTTGGCTAACCTATCTAAGCCACTCCTTTACGGTACTAATTGTCTCTAATTTCATTTCATTTTCAGCTGTTCGCAAAAATATTCGAATTGGAGGAGAAGCTTCAGGAAAGCGAGAGGGCTGTTTCAGAAGCAAACATTGAACCCAACATTCAAAGGCATGTTTTAGGCGTTCATTTACCTTCCTTAAGAAAAATTTCAAGTACATCAGTAGCAGTTAATAATACTTTTAAGTGACTTGCGGCTGACCAGGTTTCTTCTTGTTCTGCATTGCCAGGATTTATGCAACGCCAGCGAAATTTGTGTTTGTCAGCTTACACTTTCAAAATTCCATGTTAGCCCTTTTAAATTTGATAATGTTAATTTTGACGGTTTATATGGCTGCATACCATTAGTGTGCTCAGTGCTTTCGGTGCACTGCTAACATTCGCAATGCCTTGTTTAACTTTCCTTCTCCATGCAACTTATATACTAGTAAATTTCCTGTTGTTGGGCTCGCAAGTACTGCTTTGAGCTCAGTTTGCTTCTTCGCATCAGCTCTCACAGTTACCAGTCGGTCCTCTCTTTGACATAAATTACTGCTATAAAAAACGCACTTATATGCTTGATTTGTGATTTTGATCAGCTTTTGTTTCGCAGCAGAAGCAGGTCTTTTTGGCCATTGAAGCAAGTTTCAATTGTGCTGCTTTTAGAATCTTATATCTGTCATATTTTTAGCGTCATTCCAAATAGAATAAATAGCAACGCGCACCAGAGTAGTCGGTGCGATCATGCGTTTTGTGCAATTCAGCCCATCGAACGATTGCCTATTAATTATTTTCACTGCTTTGTACCTTAGTCTATGCAAAAAA